ACTACTACTACTACTACTACTACTACTACGACGACTATCACTACTACTACTACTACTACTACTACTACTACTACCACTACCACTACTACTACCACCACTACTACTACTACTACTACTACTACTTCTACTACTACTACTACTACTACTAATGATTGTAAACATAGTAATAATACAAATGCTGCTACGAATATTAATAGTATTAATATTGAGGCGAAGAAGAATAACATACAAACGATAATAGTAAGACTAAACAAGCGACAAGTGGTAATACTACTAACAATAAGAAGCAAGAGCGCCAACATCCTTCAGACACAAAAGGAATATCACGGATTTTTGCATCTTCGGGCGTTCCTGGAGCGTATTTCTTTATTGCTTGGGGCATGACGGGCGTCATGGCCCCCGCCGCGTCCCCCCCACCCTATGACGTAACGCACCCCCCCCTGTGCGCTCCGGGCACTGCCGCCGTGCGCATCGGGATCCGCATCGGTATCCGCATAGGAATCCGCATAAGAGTTTGGTCAGCAGTCGTCGTCGTCGTCGTCGTCGTCGTCGTCGTCGTCGTCGCCGTCGTCGTCGTCGTCGTCGTCGTCGTCGTCGTCGTCGTCGTCGTTGTCGCTCGTCGCTCGTCGCCTGTCGCTCGTCGCTCGTCGCTCGTCGCTCATAGTCGTCGCCTGCGCGGACGCGGTTGGAGCCTTTTTTGTTGTTGTTTTATGTGAGAAAAAAAGAAACAATAAAAAACAATATTTTTCTTTTTCGGGCCGATGACGGCAATCATCTGGGGGGGTGGGCGGGGGCCGATGACGTCACGTTTCGCGCCAGCGGCGTTTGGGAATGCTTAGGAATGACCGAGGACGAGTAGCAGCAGCATGTCCGTGGGGATCTGCGCCACAACGCGTGTGTACACAGTGCTTGCGTACACCCCAGCGCCTGTGTACACCACGCCGCCTATGTGCACCACAAGCAGCCGCGTGCAACACAGCACCAGTGTGTGCCACAGTGCCTGCGGGCCCCACGGCGCTTGTGTACACCACAGCGCCTGCGTACACCACATCAGCCGTGTGCAACGCAGCACCAGTGTACACCACAATACCTGCGTGCACTGCAGCGCCTGTGTACACAACGGCGCCTGTGTGCACCAGAGCATCGTGCGCAACAGGGCACCACTGTTGCACATAGAAAGTTGGAAATAATTATTATGACATGGAGCGCGTGTGGGTTCCACAGGAAACAATTGTTCCATATAGGATTTGGAAAGGAATCTTCATGGAAAAAGGAGCGCCGCTGGAATCTACGAGTCCTCCCGAGTCCGCCCGCATCATCCTAACTCTTCCCATCTGCGTCCAAGAGGCTGCAGCTAAATTGGCCGCCCGAGAACCAAACGGTCTGATTCAATTGACCATTCTGCGGTGCGCGCTGAGATGCGCACGTGCGCTGTAGCGCCGACCCGCCCGATAGGGTGGAAGGGTGAGGGAAGAGGAGGGGGAGGAAAAGGAGGAGGAGGAGGAGGTGGAGGTGGAGGAGGAGGGTTGAGGGAAGAACGTCGCATTCTATTATCAGCATTTCCGTGACGTGGCGTTTAGCTGTCCTCATTTACGTGTTCCTTCTACCTGTCCTGTGCACGCAGGCGCTGTGGTGTACACCAACGCTGCGTTGCACGCGGATGTTGTGGTGTAGACAGGCGGTGTGGTGTGCACAAGCGCTGCTGTGCACGCAAACACTGTGGTGTACACGGGCGCTGTGTTGCACATGGTTGCGGCGGTGTACACATTCGCTGTGGTGTACACCGGCGCTGTAGTGTACACTGTGGTGTACACTGGCGTTGCGTTGCGCGCGGCTGTTGTGGTATACGCGGGCGTTGTGGTGTACACGTGCGTTGTGGTGCACGCGAGCGTTGTGGTGAACACACGCGCAGTGGGGCAGATCGCCTCCTACGTGATGCTCGCTACGTCGTCATCGTCGTCGTCGTCGTCGCTCGTCGCTCTTCGCTCATCGTCGTCGTGCGCGTGGGCGCGGCTGTGGTGCCCGAGCCACACGGCGGGGGGGGGCGTTACGTCGTAGCCCCCCCCCGCCCTCCCCACCCCCCATGGACGCCCGTCATCGCCGAAAATAAAGAAACGCGCTTTTGAGAGGCCTTTTGAAGGGTTCTTGGGGCGTCTTTGAAGCCTCTTGGGCCATTTTGAAACCATTTCGGGCATCTTGGGATGATCTTTCAGCACTTCGGAGCCCTCTTGGACCGTGTTGGGGGCCTGTTGGGGCCCTCTAGGCCCGTCTTGGGGCCGTCTTGCCTGTGAAAAAGTCTCGCGACAGGACGCGACAAGCTGCGAGAAGCTCCAGGAGATTTGGGAGCGAGGGGCCCGGATCCGTTAAATAATCTCCAGGAGTGAGGAGGGAGGCTCAGTGGATTAGACAAAGGACCTACGGACACGCCCACTCCGTGCCGAAGGGCACGGTGGCGGACACACACGCATGTATATAGACACACACACACGCATATACATGAATAGTTGCATTTGTACGCATGTATGTATCTATGTATGTATGTATCTATGTATGTATGTATGTATGTATATATATATATATATATATATATAACGCATAGATGTCTGCAATTACGTAGGTGTGTGTATCCATGGCCGGATGTATGTATGCATGCTTGTATGTATGCATGCATGCATGTATGCATGCATGCATATATGTAGGTGTGGTTGTCTGTATGTATGCTCGTATGTATATATGCATGCAGATCTATGTGTCAGTATGTATGCATGTATGCATGCATGTATGTGTGCATGTACGTACACCTGTATAGTTATGTATGCATTTCTGTATGCCTGTCTGTCTGTCGGTTTGTCTTTCCGTCAGTCAGTCAGTCTGTCTGTCTGTCTTTCTGCCTGTCTGTCTGTCTGTATGTATGTATGTTTGTATGTATGTATGTATGTACTTATGAATATATGCAGGTATGCATGTCTGTATGCATGTATGTCTGTATGCACTATGCACGTGTATATATATATATATTGACACGATCAGACACGTAACGGCATTAATCTAATATAGACAGAGGGGGGATACGTAGAGAAAAAGAGAGAGATAGAGAGACAAGAGAGAGAGGTTTCTGAGAGGATCTTGCTACGGTCACGATTGGGTCCTGAGAGGCTCTGGAGAGATTGCCGAGAAGGCCCTGAGAGGGTCCTGAGATGGTTATTCGGTTAATCCAGAGTAATCGAGGCTCCAGCCCAACATTTTCAGCGCGAGAAATATTGACCACTCCGCCGCAAACACCTAGCATGCATCCTACTCTCGATAGGAACAAAACGACTGCAAGCGTTCTTGATCCTGTGGCACCCCTTGGGGGCGACTCTAGATGGTTTTGATTTTGCTTGGGCCCTGAAGCGAGTCTATGATAGAGAAAACACAACATAGCGAACAACGAGGCTGCTACATTTGTCGACCCCAATTCGGCTGGCCTAATTTCTCGAGACAGGTACACTAGTGGAAGTCCCAGGCTTCAAACGCAGGGCGAGCATGTTATCTTGTTTTTTGTTCCACGACGGCTGGGTCTGAGAAGAGGACAACGACGCTGAGGAGGGTGCGCTCGAACCACAACACATCGCATCACAATGAATCCTCGGAGCTTCCCGCGGATCTCTTAGGCCGTCGCTGGCCCCGCCATCGTTGTCGTCCTCGTCCTCGCCGTCGTCCCCGTCCGTTCCTTCTCCTCGTCCTCGTCCTCTTCGCCGCCGCCGCCGTCGTTGTTTCCGCCGCCGCCTGCGCCGCCGCCGTCGCCTGCGCGCCGCCGCCCGCCCGCGCCGTCGTCGCCGTCCGCGCCGTCGCCGCGCCGCGCGTCGTTGGTGGCGGCGGCAGCGGCCTCGGAGGCGGCGTCGGCGTTGGTGGTGCCGCCGCCGCCAGCGCTGTCGCCGCGCGGCGCCGCCGCCGCGCGCCACGGCGCCCTGGCGGCCTCTGGAGGTCGGAATGTCGGCCCCTGGACCTGTCTTGGGCCGCGCTCTGGCCAGACTTCGGGGCGGACCGGGCATCGGGGTCGAGGACCAGAGGATCAGAGGAGGGCGAGTTGAGGCAACGGTAGCTGGCCCTCGGGGGTCTCCCTCGTCGCCACGGCTGGGCGCAGCTCGGGGAACCGGTGCGTTTGGACCCCAGGCGGGGTCCCGGGATCGATTTTGAGCTGCCGCTGTCTCCACTCGCCCTGCTCCGAGAGGAGCCTTCAGGAGCTCCCAAAAACATCCCGGAACGTTCAAAACCTCGAGGCTCTAGCCTCGGTCCTCAACCGACGCGGCCGGCGACGTGTTTTTTCGATGCGTGGGCCCTGGAGGTCTGGACCATTGGCGTAGGGCCGGTTTGTCGTCGTCGGCCGCCACAAACCAGGTGTTGCGAGAGGTGCCCCTGGCCCAAGGTGCCCCCTCACGAGGCCCGTAGGGCTCCAGGGGTCCACAATTGCGAAAAACTGAAGGCACCTTGGTCCAGGGTTATGATGTTCCAGCCTACTTTAGCTTCGACCACCAGGAAGAATTCCAAGCACCCAGGAAGCGCCAGAACTGGAGGTTTTTCAGGTGTCGGGCCCTGGGAGGCGATCCTCGTTCGACACTTCGGCAGCTTGTCGGGCAGATGCTGTTTCGATAGTTTTCTGGGTGCCCGAAATTATTTCTGGGATGTGGTGCGTTAGTACGATGGGTCGCACTGGCGACTCACTCCGTTGCACTCGCACCCGCGGCCGCTTGTACACCTTGGTTTACTGGGCGGCGCCTAGGTGCGTCTGCTGATGAATGCAGAGCATTTTGTTCAGTGCATGTGCAACTGCGCGCTTGTTGTGCAGGTGCGATCCGGCCTGCCAACGTGGCGGTTGGGGTCGCCAATTCGCTTTGTGCCCCCCGCCCCGGACATTGCCTCTCGCCGCCAGACCGTTGTCGCGCGGCCGCAGACCAAAAAAGTAAGTGCGATGGGAGCAACAGGAGGCCAGGGGTACCTTTGGCAACCCACGACGACAGGCCGAGGCGGATCAGTCCGGGGTGCAGCGCTGCCCGAGCGGCGCGGCGCTCCGGGAGCGCGGCCCCAACATCAACGTGAACGAGCGCCGCCAGGAGCGGAGCGGCCAGGGCCGCGGCCGCGCCCGTCTTCTCCCTGCCGCCTTCCTCTGCCTCCTTCCACTCCTACTGCTCCGAGGAGGAGGAGGAGGAGGAGGAGGAGGAGGAGGAGGAGGAGGAGGAGGAGGAGGAGGAGGGGAGGAGGAGGAGGAGGAGGAGGAGAGGAGGAGGAGGAGGAGGGGAGGAGGAGGAGGGAGGGAGGGATAGAGGACAGAAGGGAGGGAGGGAGTGGAGGAGAGGGAAAGGAGGAGGAGGAGGAGGAGAAGGAGGAGGAGGAGGAGGAGGAGGAGGAGGAGGAGATGGAGGTGGAGGTGGAGGAGGAGGAGGAGGAGGAGAATGAGGATGAGGATGTGGATGGGAGGAAGGATGCTGATGATGGTGACGAGGACGATGACGATGAGAATTATTGAGATGATACCGCTGATGATGCTGATGATGCTGATAATGGTGCTGATGATGGTGCTGCTGATGGTGATGCTGCTGATGCTGCTGATGATGCTGAGGATGCTGCTGCTGATGATGAAGATGAAGATGATGATGATGATGATGATGATGATGATGATGATGATGATGATGATGATGATGATGATGATGATGATGATGATGATGATGATGATGATGATGATGCTATGATGGTGATGCTGATGATGCTGATGCTGTGGCTGATCTTGATGCCGATGATGATGCTGCTGAAGATGATTATGCTGGAGCTGCTGTTGATGATGACGATGATGATGCTGATAATGATGACGATGATGTTGTTGATGATGCTGCTGATGATGATGAGGATGCTGCTGATGCTGATGATGATGCGACTGATGCTCATGATGATGCTGTGTATGACGATGATGATAATGCTGCTGCTGCTGATCATGATGATTCTGCTGATGCTGCTGATGATGATGGTGATGATACCGATGGTGATGTTGTTGCTGCTGATGACGATGCTGATGGTGCTGCTGCTGATGATGATGATGAGGATGATGATGAGGATGATGAGGATGTTGATGATGAGGATGAGGATGATGATGAGGATGAGCATTATGCTGATACTGATGATGATGGTGCTGCTGGTGATGATGGTGATGATGCTGCTGCTGATGATGATGATGCTGCTGCTGATGATGATGATGATGATGATGATGATGATGATGAGGAGGAGGAGGAGGAGGAGGAGGAGGAGGAGGAGGAGGATGGAGAAGGGAGGAAGAGGAGGACGGAGGAGGGAGGCAGAGGCAGAGGCGGAGGAGGAGGACAGAGGCCATCGAGGGCTGGTGGTCGAGCCTCTCGGACGTTTGCGGTCGCCCCTGGGCCTGCGGTGGCCTGCTGGGGTCGCCAGGGCCCGCGCTGCATCTGAGGTTCGCGGTGCCACGAGGTTGGTGTCTTCACGGTGGGCTGGCCATCCGCGCCGACGTAGCGTAGAGGTCCGTGGTGAAGTCCTGGCGCAGAGGTCCGGGGTAGAGTCCCGGGGAGGTGTCATGGCGCCCCCATCGCAGAGCGGATTTCGGTCGGAAAACCACGGGATGGGCCCAGAGTGTGCTGGAGAATCTCGTTCCGGACTTCGAGGTGCATTTTTCGTGCGAGTTTTCGTTTGGCCAGGAATGGAGACCAAAAAGAACCCACGCGAGAGTCACTCCGTTTTTCGCTTGCCGTTTCGGGGTTTTGCATGGGCAGGGCTCCACGCCCCCAAATCCGCTGCAGCACGTCTGCAAGGTCGGTGCAGTGAGAGATGGGGCAGGCTCGGGGCAGCGTCGGGGAGGGCCAGGGGCAGCGTGAGGGGTCAAGATGGGGGGGGGGCGCAGCGACCCCCACTCGGCCGCTGATCGCCGACGGGGGCCCGATGGCCCAGCCCCGCCCAGGAACGTGCGGTTTTGCCCTCTGGGGCCCCCTTCCTCAGCTGGTCCTCGCTATGCTCCCCCTCGAGCGAGAAGGCTAATGCACTTCGCCGCGTGGTTCAACTCGACATCAGCCTCGGGACCAACTTCCTTCTCATTCCGGGGCGCTGTCTGACCGAAGCCAGCAGCGAACTGGGCGAGTTGCGTTGTGGTGTAATCCTGTGCGTAGGCGAGGGCGTCATGCTTTTTATTTTGGAGCTGCTGTTGGGATAGGGGGCAGGAGTTTGGTACGTACCCCTAAGACGCTTCATGGATCTTGCCTGGACCGACACCGCACGCGGTCTTTTAGAAACACCACCCCCCGGCTCCCCTCCGTAGCCATTGTGGCTCAAGCGAAGATTTGCTGTTGTCTTTCGCGATGCCTTCTAATGCATTGCCCGGTGTTCTAGGACTTGCCGAAGACCTAGTATCAATCTCCAAGAACGTTCCAGGTAATGTTGGCAGTGCGCGAGATGAGCTGGGTTCCATGTGGACGCGGCTTGTCCAGGTCTTCTGGCTCGTCTCAGGCCGTGTCGACGACGTGCTTTCTAAGTGGCCGAACTTCGCCTCGACAGGCTTCGCCATCTCCTACGGCGCAGCATTGCTCTGCTTACCCTTCCTGCTCATAATGGCCCTGGTGGCTGTCTGGTCCGTCGCCTCGGCGGGCCCTGCGCGGAAGACTTTTAGTTCGATCCTGATCATCTCGGTGGGTGTGCCAGTGTACCCGATTGTCCTAGCCCTGTTGCTCGCCATCTTCTGGATCGTGGTGGAGTTCCTAGCCCTCGCCTTCGGCGTGGTGGGGCCGCTCGCCGTGACCATTGGCGTCTTCTCGTTCGGCTGCGACGCGCTCTCGTCGTTCATCGCAGAGCAGCGCCGGTACCCGCGGGCTGTCGAGGACATCACTTTCGCTCAGCTCTTCGCCGGTCTTGCCATTGGTGCCGGGAGCCTCTGCACCTTCGGCGTCCTGACCGTTGCGCTCACCGTGCTCAAGGCACCCTTCGTCCTCCTCGGTCTCACCGCCATGGGGATCTACCACACGTTCCCCTGGCTCCTGGAGACGGGCTGCTGGTTCCCTGCCGCGTTTCTCGTTTGGGTCTTCGCTTTGGCCGCAGGTTTCTGCGCACTCGCGCTGGGCATATTGCTCTCCTTCGGTAGCAAATCATGGGAGCCTGGTAGACCCTCTAAGTTCCCGCTTTAGCGTCGATTAGCGTCTGGGAGTCGGTGAGACAGCGCCAACCTAGCGTCGGCGAGCGTCGATTAGCGTCGGTTCAGCGTCGATATTGGCGTCGACTTGGCGACGATTCGCAAAAGCCGACAAAGATGGTATGGGAGGATCCCACGAGTTGCCACCGAGCTTTCCGTGGTTGCGAAGTTCCTGCTCAGCCTCGTGTGGCCGGCCTACGTGACCGCGGGCTGGCTGAGGCACGTCGGCGGAGGCGGCCGTCGCACCGGGGGCAACTGCTGCACGCCGCTCGTGCAGGGAGTCAAGGCGGGCTACCAGGTCCTGTGGGCTGCGGACCTCCTCACGAACGTCTGCATCTCGAAGACGAGCAACACCGCCACAAGCATAAACTTTGGGCGCTCCACGCTGGTTTCTCGCATCCGCGCTGGGCCCCCCTGGCGGCGCCTCCGGCGCAGCTCCAAGAAATCCGCGCGGAGCGCCCAAAGTTTGTGTCCGTGGCGCTTTTTCATCTTCTGGGCATCCTCCAGCGCTTCGACCTGTTCGAGCAGACGAGGCGCGAGTTCATGGAGGTCGCGGGCGGGGCTCGCCAGGAGCTCTCGCCCGAGTGCCGCACCGTCGCGTGCCTCCCGCCGGTGGTCGTCGGCCTCTTCCAGGGCGATGCGTGGGACATGTCTCAGGAGCTCCTCGCACGAAGCCTCGGTGTGACGACGGACGTGGTCAAGGAGGCCTGGGCCAGCCTCGCGGAGCAGATGCTCTGCATCGGGCGGGACGCCCTCGCGTCCGGGCTGGTCACCGGCGACTACGTCCTCGGCGTGCCGCCCGAGCTCGTCATCGGCCTGCCTGCCCGCACGCTCCTCGACACGGTGGAGCGCTCGCCCGGGCCGGACGTCGTCCTGGCCAGCGGCCTCGTCCTCACCGAGCACAGGCGCCCCCGCGGGGCGTTCGCCGACAGGGCCTGGGAGGAGCTCCGCAGGTCCAAGGCTGCGCTGCCGGAGCTGGCCGCCGCGGGCGCCGAGGCGCGGGAGTGCCTCTGCGGCCTGCTCCTCGCGGGCGGCGGTGACCCTGGCGAGCTGCCCGCGGGCCTCGCGAGGGCCGTGCGCGCGCTCGAGGAGCTGCCCTCGGGCGCGCGGGATGCCGTCCTGGCCGTGCAGCGGCCCCTCGTCGGACTGGCAGTGGAGTGCTCGCGGCAGGCGGCCTTCAAGGAGAAGCTGAGAGATTTGATCCTGGCGATCTCGGCGGAAGACGGGGGGCCTGACGGCGTCGGGGGCGCTCTCCTGGGGGGGCCTGGGGGGCAGGACTGATCCCTGCCTGCCAGTGCTGGCGAGCCCCAGCGGATTCGCCACGGTCATGCGCAGCGGACTCGAGCCTTCAAGTCTGAGCAGATGGACGCCAATGTGAGAAGCCTCCGTCGTGCCACCGTTACTGTGGGTATTGCGATCGGCAGCCTTCTCCCGAAGAAGAATAACACCACATAACCATAAACTTTTGGCGCTCCGCGCGGATTTCTTGGATCCGCGCTGGGCCACCCTGGCGGCGCCTCCGGCGCCGCCCTGGTGCGCTCTGCGCGCCAGGGCGGGGGGTCAGGCGCGGATCCAAGAAATCCGCGCGGAGCGCTAACAGTTTATGTTTATGTGTTTTTTCTCCCTCTATTCTCCACAGGCGATGGAGGCGTGTCGGAGAGGACACAGCATGGCCGCTCGGCCTCCCTGGCCACCTATGCAGCGCTTCAGGAGCTCCGCAGGCCTGTCAGTCGAGCCTCGGGGCCTGGCACCCCAGCTAGGAGGCCGAGTGCCAGGTCGCGAGGCCCCCCCGCACAGAGGCTGCCCTGTGTCGGCCTCGGCCGTGCTTACTGTTGATTCGGGCCTGTCCCTCTACAGGAGGAACGTTCGAAAATGGACAAAAATAGTATGGGGACGATCTTTATAGTATTTTTTGTTTTAGCGGTATTTTTGAGCCTTGAAGCGTATTTTCATTTTTCGTCAAATATCCGCCTGTAGGGGGACATGCCCGACCTGAGGCGATGTCCCCGCGGCCCTCGTGATCTCCGCGCGAAGGACCTTGGCCCTCCGCGAGGAAGCCTCGCCGCATCGGGGAAGGGGGAATGGGCAACACACACGCTCTGGCGATGATGTTTTGTTGCTAGGCTAAGACTCTGCAACCTTGGCTGTATCCTTGCTTGCTCAGCGAGTTCGAGCAAAAACACTATTATGTAGAGATGCGCTGCCTGCCGTCAACGTTGTGGCATTGATGCCGAGAAGACAATGCAAGACAATGCGTCCACCAACCAGCCCCAACCAACCAACCACTACAGATGCAGATCAAGAGGGTGTGGGGCCCAGGACGGCGCGCTGGGCGTGACAGGCCTCGCGCGGCTGCGGTCCCCGGGCCTCCCCGCTGCCACGTTCCTTACGTCGGACCTGTCCCTCTACAGGGGGAGTATTCAAAAATAGTTTTTTCTGTGCTGTAAAAAATAATAATACATAAAAAACTACCCGGGACGATGTTTTGATAAGTTTTTAAATAATGTTTGAATTCCCCACATCCTGGGGGGGCTTCTTGTTTTCCCAGAACACCCTCTCCTTCCCACCTTCCCACCTTCCCACCTCCCGTTCACTGTTCCATACCATCCGTGCAGTACCATACCATACCTACCACGTCATAGCTACCATACCATACCTTCCATACCGTACCATACCATAGCTGCCATACAATATCATACCTTTCCACACCATACTATGCCTTCCCACACCTCCATGGAGGCCCCGCCTGAGCGAGCAGGGTATTCGAATACCACTCTATTTATGAGGTTTCGTGCCCCTCCCACCCCTCCAGGGAGGCCCCGCCTGAGCGAGCAGGGTATTCGAATACCGTACTATTTATCAGGTTTCGTGCCACTCCCACCCCTCCAGGGAGGCCCCGCCTGAGCGAGCAGGGTATTCGAATACCATACTATGTATCCGGTTTCGTGCCCCTCCCACCCCTCCAGGGAGGCCCCGCCTGAGCGAGCAGGGTATTCGAATACCATAAACCTCGCCGCGGTGGCAGGCCAGATTTGCTTCTGATTTTTTCGGTTTTTCGGTTTTCACATTGCAAATGGGGCGCGCGCCTGGTGTCCAGAAGGTGCGCTGGGGGCGACCAAAACAACGCCCGGAAGAGCGCCTGGGAGCGCGCTGGGGCGAGCGCCCGGGCGAGCCCAGAAGAGTGCCGAGAACATCGCCCAGGAAAGCGCCATCAAGAGTGCCCAGAATATGGCCCAGACGCGAATCTGGAAGAGCGCCCGAAAGAACGCCCGGAAGTGCGCCCAGCAGCGACCGATTTTGCGACCGATTTTGCGTCCGATTTTGCGTCCGATTTTTTGCGTGTCGATTCAATACTAAAACAAAACAGACGCAAATCTGATTTAAAATCTGACAAGAACCGGACGCAAATCGGATGCGACATCGGACGCAAATCGGACGCAAAATCGGACGCAAAATCGGAAGCAAAATCGGACGCTGATGGCGTCGACCATTTCTGGGCGGATGAGGCAGCGTATCGCGGTGCATCATGGCGAGGTCTGGTATGGTGTGTATTGCGGACCCATGCGCGCAATTCAGCGTTGGAGTCTTAGCGATGTGGCGAACGACAAACTGCGATATCGCGTTGTGTCCAGGTCGGGCCAAATCGACAGAAAAATCGGATCGCCGCTTCTGCGGCCGCTTTTTATGACACCATATTATTTGTCAGGTTTCGTGCACCTCCCACCCCTCAAGGGAGGCCCCGCCTGAGCGAGCAGGGTATTCGAACACCATACTATTTATCAGGCTTCGTGCCCCTCCCACCCCTCCAAGGAGGCCCCACCTGAGCGAGCAGGGTATTCGAACACCATAGTATTTATCAGGCTTCGTGCCCGTCCAACCCCTCCAGGGAGGCCCCGCGTGAGCGAGCAGGGTATTCGAATACCATATTATTTATCAGGTTTCGTGCCATTCCCACCCCTCCAGGGAGGCCCCGCCTGAGCGAGCAGGGTATTCGAATACCATACTATGTATCCGGTTTCGTGCCCCTCCCACCCCTCCAGGGAGGCCCCGCCTGAGCGAGCAGTGTATTCGGATACAATACTCTTTGGCAGGCTTCGTGCCCCTCCCACCCCTCCAGGGAGGCCACATCCTGAGTGGGGTTTTTGTTTTCCAAGAACACCCTCTCCTTCTCACCTTCACTATACTATTTATCAGGCTTCGTGCCCCTCCAACCCCTCCAGGGAGGCCCCGCGTGAGCCAGCAGGATATTCGAACACCATACTATTTATCAGGTTTCGTGCCCCTCCAAACCCTCCAGGGAGGCCCCGCCTGAGCGAGCAAGGTATTCGAATACCATACTATTCATATCAGGTTTCGTGCCCCTCTCACCCCTCCAGGGAGGCCCCGCCTGAGCGAGCAGTGTGTTCGGATACCATACTCTTTGGCAGGCTTCGTGCCCCTCCCACCCCTCCAGGGAGGCCGTAACATCCTCGTGTGGGGAACTCCGCTGGCATATATTTTGTTGGACTATTTCTGAGGTCTCGTCCAACATCGGCCTGTAGAGGAACGCCCGGCCTGACGCTTCCCCTGCGGCCCCTGCGGTGGGCCAGCGGGGGGGGGGGCGGCGGGCGCCGGAGGGGGCCCGCAGCACGTCTCCCGGGCCGGCGGCGCAGACCGGCTCCTCGAGCCGCCCGCGCGTGCGAGCCGGGCAAACGCAGGGGCGCGTCGGGAGACTCGGGCGGGCGGGGATAAATATATATATATATATATATATATACACACACACACATACACATATATATATATATATATATATATATATATATGTATATATATATATATATATATAATATATATATATATATATATATATATATATATATATATATTAGGGGGGGGGGCGTGGCATCGAGGCGAGGGACATTACACATCACCACCACGAGGCATCCGCGGGCCCTTTTTTGGGGCGAGACCCGACCGCAGCCTGGGGCCTCCCTGCCTTTCCTGGATCCAGAGTGGGCCTGTCGATGATTTGGACTGGGTGCCTCTCAAACGACGCGAAGATCGGGACAAAATCGGATCGGGATAACTCGAAATCTCTGAGAATCGGCGGGTTTGGAGGATGTGTTGGGCGCCGCGGCCGCTCCATGAGCGTTCAGGAACGCTCTGAGAGCGCTCCGGAACGCTCTGGAGCGATTTATCCCGATCTTAGCTCTGTTTTATGGTAGTGTCGGGGGAGCAAGTCGACTACGCGTAAGAGTGACCTTTCGCCGGTGACTTTTGGTGCGGGCCCAACGGGGCCCCCCGATCGCCGAACGCGATGCGGTCGTTGCGTCTCGCGCGCTGGTTTCTGGTCCCCCCCCGCGGCCCCCCCAAAGCCGCGCACCCAAGGTCACTCTTACCCAGGGTCACTCTTGCGTGTAGTCGAACAAGATTCGAGTAAGCCGGAACTCGGTTTTGCCCACGTTTTTTTGAGGATCGAGTCGTGAATTTCGTGGGATGCCTGCAGCGGAAGTTTGCGCCAGGTTTCAGGTTGGGCCTCGTCATTTTAGTTGATGGCCCCGTCAGGCCAACCCGAGCCCCCCGAGCCCGAGTCTTACGCCTCCCCGATCATGGGGGGTGGCCCGGATGGGGGTGAAGCACAAGGCCCTCACGGGGCCTTTCAGGGCCCCTTTTTGGGCACCGGCTGGCCCCAAAAGGGGCCTTCAAGGGCCTTTTTGAGGGCCCTCGTCTTCCCCCCCCACTTGGGGTCGCCCCCCGTTGCCACCCGCCCGAGAGACCCTGAAGAACGAAACGGGGCGCGTCGAGCACGAGTTGGGGAACTCCTGGGTCCGCCCTGCTGTGCTCTGTTTTCCGCGATCTCCAGCTTTCCCCCATGGCTTATCGCCTCAGGAGTTTCTTGTTCGCCCCTCCGTTCTCTTGGTTCCCCCACGCTCCGCTGCTGGATTTCTCGACCTCTTCTGGAATTCTCGACCCCTTCATTTTGACCCATGTTTCTCAGCCACGCGCAGGGGGGGGGTGGGGGTAGGGGGAGGGCTTCTTAGAAGCACCCCTCCTTCTCAGAAGGCGCGGGCCTCATCTATAGACGTGAGGCCGGCGCCTTCTGAGATACAGCCTCCTCCTAAGAAGTCTTCCCCTTCTCCCTCCACCCCCCCTTTGTGCGCGCCACCAAGTTTCGTCCTGAGCCGCCTGTGGACGGTCTCGAGGCAACGGAGCGGCGTCCAGACGCCGAACACCGCGACCCCCAGGGCCAGAGGACGCGCGCGTCGCGTCCTCTGGCCCGCTGGGGGCTCGCACCCTGC